AGAGACTGGCTGGGTCTCCTGAGTGAATTCGGGAGATGCTGTGAGATTCCTGGAAAAGTAGAGCTGGAGAAACTTAAGGCATCATCAAATCACAGGCATTGAAGCCAAGGGTCAGAACAGGGACATGAGCTGCTTGGGCTTCTATGACTGAGGATGAGGGTCAGGACTGGACTATCCTGTAGTACAGGGCCTCAGCTGCTCTGCAGCAATGCCCATCTCCCTGCCGGACAAAGTCCTATGGAGATGCAGTCCCACAGCACACAGCAGTTTGTGTGGACAAAGGCAGGCTGAGGGGGGGAGGTGTGGGAGGCCCAGAACAGGTAGGTCCTTGGATCTGAGTAGCTGTCCTGGGGGAGGGGCAGTTATGCTCTGGGCAGCCCCAGAGGACAGAACTGGGCCAGGTTTGAGGAGGGAAATCCATTTCTTGCTTGACTGTGGCGTGAGCTGCTCTGTGAGGTGGTGAGCTCCCTGTCCTGGGAGGGGGACATGGAAGCTTGCTCACTGGGGCTGCAGCCCCTCAGAGGGTTTCCAAGTACCAGGAAGTAAGTGGCTGCCCTCCCAACCCCCAGCCCTCCTGGGATTTGGTTCTGCCTGCAGCTCTGACTTAGGCACTACTCCTGAGGGTCAGGTGTGGCATCTCATGTTCCCTGTTTGCAGACACTCCTGTGCTTAGTACCTGATGCACATGACCAGCAGCAGGGCCAAGGGTCGGCGGGACGTCTCCCTGCCTGCTTGTTGGGACTTGCACAGCCCTGAGCAGAGAGGCGGGTGGGGCAGGCAGTGTGCCCGGCACAGGTGCTGGAGGGGGCTGGTTGGGTGAGGTTTTCCAGCCAGGTGAGGCGGAGCCACGGGGACTTCTTCCCCCTGAACCAGAGAAGCTCCAATTCCCAGACCAGGTGGGTACCAGCTCCTCTCAGGCTGGGCAGGGAGGGTTGGAGGCGCAGCCCAGGGGGCCCAGGCCCACATGGCTAGACACAAGACCAGAGGCAGAGGCAGGGCTCACACCTGGGCTGAGGTCTACACCAGGTTTGAGGCATCCTCCTTTAAGCCAGGCACAGGTGTCTAAGGGGATGTTATGGAGACATGGGCCCTGGTCCTGGCTCCCGTCTTCCTACTTTCCAGGCTGCCCTCCAGAGGCTGTGACTGCCATACAGCGGGGTCTGGGCAGCCACCACCCTGCCGCCCCTTTCTCACCTGAGCCCCTGGATGTCTTGTGTCCTCTTCAAACAGGCGGGGAGGCTTAGGCAGGGGAGGAGGACCTATCCGAGGACCCTGCCACCCCGGCTATTGGGATTAGGGTGGGAGGAGGAAGACTGGGGGCACAGGGCTCTCTCCCAGGGACAGCACAGCTCAGAGGTGCCAGGCCCTGAGTGATATTTCTCCAGGGATGCCAAGCCGATGGTGACAGGGGCCGTGACCTGGGCCCAGATGAGGGAGTTCTTCTGAAGGAAGGAGGAGGGTGCAACCAGGTCTGGCCTCCACCTGCCCTGGACAGCCCCTGTGACATTTCCAATTGCTGGTGACTGACTCACCCCCACTTCAAAGGCCTTGGCCCCTGTTCAGCTATTTAACCCGCTGCACTGCGCCACCACTCTGGAATTCTCTCTGCGGGAAGCTGGGGCCCCACCTGCAGACCTGCTGCTGCCCCGGGCAGGTGCCTCCTCCCAGCCCGTCCACACATCTAGCCTGCGGAGCTGTCCTCCGGGGCCACTGGCCCTCGCCCACCGCTGAAGAGATGCCCACCTCTACTGCCACCAGCCCTGCTTCCTTGGCCCCAGCCACAGCCGTGCAGGTGTCCCTGTGGCACCACTACCTGCAGGCCATCCGGTCACGGGAGGTGACCCGTGTCCAGGACTACCAGCGTGCAGAGAATGTGCTGCTCACAGTGCTGGAGCGTGTGCACGCCCTGGACCCTCGCTTCATCGTGGACTATTCTCATGATCTGGAAGCTTTTCAGTTTGCCCTACGCTCCTCGGAGGACCCACTGGACATAGAGGTGCCCCTGTGGGTGGATGCTGAGGCTCTCCTGATTGAGGAGCCACGGGCTACAGAGCTGGGGATTGGTCCTGAATTCTGCCGCCTGGGCGTCCCCAGGGATGGGACTGGCCTGGAGCAGTGGACCACTGACGACATCTTCAGCGCCTCCTCAGAGGGTGACACCAAGTGCTGTGGCCTCATCATACCCAGCAAGGTCCTGCGTGTTCTCAAGGACCTGCTGGTGGCAGCTATCGTGCACTGCAAGCACCACAGCCTCATCACACCAGGTAGTGACATGAACCACACTGCTTGTGTATCTGTGTGCATTTGAGGGATTACATGGGATTGTGGGCTCACAGGGTGTACCTACCTACTGTGTGGGTGTCCTTGTGCAAGTGTGTATGTGCCCATGCATGATTGCTATGCACATGTGCCCAGGGTGTGTTGTCAGTGTGCATGTGAGTTGGAAGACATCACTCTGAGGTCCTTGCAGCCCCAAATACCTCTAAGAAGACAGATGACACATTCATGTTACCTAGGTTTTATATGGTGATTTTGTCAATGACGTTTTCATGGATGTGACTTTTTAAATGGCTGGAGACTTTGTGATCAGCATGTTATTTTGCTGGTTGAAGTGCATGATGAGGTTCTGGACAGTGGTTGTTATCAGTTACAGCTGTTGTTACAATCCTCATGGCTGTTCCGTCTGCACTTCCAGCATCTGGTCATATTGTACCCAGTTGGGAGGGGAGTGCATGGATGTGAATGCGTGTGTGCTTGTGTGTGCACATGTCTGTATCAGTCTGTGGTCAAGTTACTAATCGGTGTCTTGGGCTCCAACTGGGTTCTGAGACTCTGGCCTCTGTGTCTCCTCTGGGTCTTGTGATGTAATCTGCGGCTTGACTGAACCCAGGGTGGGCCTGGGTTGTGAGGGTGACTGGGAGATTGGGGCATAGCCTGTGCAGGGGCCAGGACAGTGGTGACCCTGAGTGATGGAGCCTGTCCTCCTATGGTTCAAGACAAGATGTCAGGTTGTCCTGACAGGGAACTGGGGATCGAAACAGAATGTTCTGCTTCCTCTGGGAGGGAGCAAGCTTGTCACATGTGAGTCACACATATCTTCACAGGTATTTGTTACTTTTAGTCACCTCTCTGCTATTTGTCTTACTTTCACATCCACCATGAGGTCAGCAGGTGGGGTGGTCAGCTCACCTTTGAGAGGCCATGACCTGCTCAGTGCTACCCAGCTTGTGGATTCTGGGTCTGGCTACACATCCCAGCTGGGGCCTGCCTGGGGCAGGGGGCCCCAGCCCCTTGGGCTGGCTGGACTGACCTTTCCTCTGGTTCTTCCTGTGGCACACAGTCTGGTGTCCGCTCTGCAAGCCAGGTTGGTGAACTGGAAGGACCTTGGGCTGTCAATACCGGGAGGGTGAACTCCAACACAGGCCCCTCCCCAACCTGCCTGGTGTCCTGGGGCAAGTGACCGCCTTGACCACTGGGCGGCCGGAGCCTGTCATCAGGTGTCAGTCCTCACCCTGCCCTCCAACCCCTTGGGCATCTTCCCTGGCCATCTTCTGAACCTTCCAATTACCATAGGTGCTGGGAGACTATTTCTGTCTTCTTGACTGATCTAACCTGGCCCTGTCACCTTTGGGCCCACTGCCCCACCAGGGGGAGTGAGCAGGAGGTTGTACCATGCCCTGGGATCCTTTGGTTACCATCTAAGCCACCAGCCCCTCTCACATCACTAGAGAGCTTTCTGGCTGAGACTGTGTGCCACTCCCTTGGGCCTCTAAGCTGCGCTAAGCATGCAGGGAAATTCCAGACATTGTTTTCTGACACTTTAAAAGAAAAACGTGGCAGCCCCGGGTGACAAGGTTCAGGCTGTCCCACCCTGGGAACCAGTGAGACAGGCCCAGGGCTGTGGCAGGGTGACTGGGCTGGGCACAGGTGTGGCTGGCTGCCTTCCAAACTGCCATTTCATGGACAACATGTATGACCAAGGGTAGAAAAGGAGTTGCAGCCACCAAAGGTGGCTTTGGATGACAGGCACCTCCAACACAAACTTGAGAGGGGCCACGTGGGATGGCTTATGTGGTAGGGCCAGGGATGCACTAGGCTGGATCCCAGGAGGTAGCCCCAGAGCCTCCCTGCAGGAAATACTGGGTGCGGAACGGTCTACACAGTGGGGCTAGGCTCCTACCTGATGGGTCCCTGGGGCCATGGGATGGAGGGAACACAGTTCCCATGCTCACTCACCATGGAGATCTTTCTCCAAGGCACGTGTTGGGGATGCATGCTGGGATACACCAACATGCTGTCTGGGCCTGGCTCCCAGCAGGTCAGCTGCTCTGACCGCTGACCCTGGCTGGGCAGTTTGGAGAAGAGGAGGCTGCTCCCGCTGGATCAGTGTTGGGCTGGGCTGGTTCACTGTGCGTTTTCTGGGCTGGAGTAGCCTGGAAACAGGGCAACCAAGCTGGCTGCTCCCCACACTAGGCCGCCACTGTCTGCTCTGTCCTTTTCCTCCCAGACCTCCCCAGTGTGAGGACCAGCTTGTGCAGTCAGGCCCCTAGGCCTGGGTCTGACATGAGCTTCCTGTTCACAAGGTTAATTTTGGAGGGTGGGGGCTTTCAGGAAAGTTTCTAGGGAGCAGACTCTGGTGGGGAGAGGTCCAACCTCTGTTCGACCCTCTCTGGCTCTGGAGTGGGATCTACTGCAGAAAAGTCACCTGCAGAGAAACCAGGCCCATCAGCTGGGAGGTAGGTATTAGCTTATGTGGGACCTCCGTCCCAGTAATGGTACAGAGAGGGCAAGCTCAAGAAGGCCTAGGAAGGTGCGGTCAGCAGGCTGGGCCACTGGGGTGTGAATCGAGGGAGGAACCTGGCAAAGAAAACCCTCATATAGGAAGTTGTTGTCATCACTGATGCTGTCAAGTCACTGATCTGACAGTTGAGCAGATGGATGACATTGCTGGGTGGGCCTGGGTGGGTGCGATTAGCCCCTAGCTGACTGAGGGTCTAGAGATGGACACAGGTGTCCTGGGTGGGGGAACCACAGCCTACAGGTGGGAGTAGGATGAGAGGGCTGCAGGAGAGTTGATGAGGGCTAGGGACCAAGCTGGCGGCAGGAGGGGTCTGTGGGCATCCCAGGCAGAGGTAGCATGGTGGGGATCTGGTGTGATGCGGGTCATTGCAGGTTCACTAAATGCAGCTAGCCTGAGGGAGGAGCAGCTTCACCTGTCCTTGCTGGTATCCAGTGGCTGGAGAACAATCTGCTTCCGTGTCGTGCCCGTGGTGAGGAGAAAACATGGGGTGCCTGCCCTGGAGGGGGCCCACCTGATGCCTGGATTCCCCAAGGGCAGCTTGAAAAGGATCATCGGCCAGGGCGTGGACCTGGTGCCAGCCAGCGCCCAGCACTGGAGGTAGATGCAGCCTTGCGGGTCCGTGGGGCTCTGGGGAGTGTGTGGGAAGGGGGCAGCCATCTCTATGCTCCCTCCACCCTAGGCAGGAGGATCTATCAGGTCCCCTCACCTGCCTCTGCCCCCATGGGCATCTGTGTCCTGTTGACATTATCTTGGGGATTCAGGGGTCCAGTTAGGATTCCAGAATCCATACTCCAGAACACTTAGCCCCTGTTGGCTTTCAGAGCTGTAGGAAGGATGAAGCTATGTCCTCTCTCAAGTCGGGAGGGGGCTGGTGGATTCTGGCTATAATGAAAGAGAGGAGAAACATGGAAGTGTAGAAGGCCCTGGATGACCCTGCCTTTACAGAGGTCAGATGACTTGTCCAGGGCAGGGTGGGTTCCCAGAGCAACTGAGAGAAGTCCCCAGACAGCAGGGAAGCTGAGAGGCTGATGAAACTAACTAGCATTGGGGCTGGCTAGCATCTCCCATCTGGGTCTGTCCTTCCCAGATGACAGTGTCCCTTCCTTTGAGACTCCTCTACCTGAGTGTTTAGCTATAGATGCTCCCTCCTGCCTGGCCTGCCCTAGAGCCTCTCCTCAGATCCCCTGGTCTCTGTCCCCAGTAGCCTGAAAGTTCGGTGAGGACTACTGCATCTGTGCTGGTATCTGTGAGAGGGAGGAAGGGGGAACAGGGCAAGGGTTGAGCTCTTCTTGGGACCCCAAACCAATGGCAAGGGTCTGAGTCCCAATCAGATCTGGCCCATTAAAACAGCACCTGTGTGCAAGGTTGTGATTTGGCCAGGGTGACTTACCCCAGTTTCATGCCTGAAGGATAGCTGAGTTCATGCTTGTCAGTGATGACTTTGTGAAGCTGGTTATGGCCCTTCTGTAGTTTTCTGCCACAAGGAAAGGTTCAACAGAGCACCTGCCCACTCCTGCCCCTGCATCACGACTGACCCCTCTGAACAGGGTGGAGGCTGTTCCAAGCTTGAATGACTGCCTCCCTCACCAAAGAAGGGGAAGGTCTGGGTTGAACAGTCATTTTTGCTAGTAAATGGGAAAATGATCTTTCTGATGTACCTCCCCCTGCAGCCTGGGGGTTGGGTGGATGGGTGACCATTCAGTGCTAAGACTTCACCAAGAGTGAGACCCATGGAGGTGTGGTCTCAAAGTTCCACCCCTATAGTCTGTTCAGCATGCACACAGTGAGTGAGCACCTCTGAGATGCGATGTCCTGAGCTAAGGGCACTGGGTGGGGAGTATAGCTTCTGAGTCTATCACTGTGTGTGGCTGTCTCTGGAGGCTGGCCTGGGCTTCTGGATGAGGCCATTGATGGAGCTGAAATGCCCACCAAGCTGGGTGACTCCAACCTAGGCAGGTCTGAGAGTTACCTCCCTGTCTACACAAAGGGCTGGGCTGGAGGCTTTCCAAGTTCCCCCATATTCTGGGGCTTGGGAGTCTCAGTGAAACTGGGCATTCACACTGCATAGACAATGAATGCAGCTCCTGAGAAACATGGGACCCGGGCTGAGTCCAGTGGACAGGGCACAACATGGCTGCTGCCACCACTTAAGCCTCCTGGGGCTCAGGGGCTTCCAATACTAGGGTGGGAACAGAAGCCAGGGCTGACTGTGTATCTGGGCTGCAGGGTCTCCACTGACTACCTGCTCACCAGACTGCTGGATGCACTGGGTACCCTCCAGGGCCACCACCTGGACAGCCTCTCCATCCTCGACCGAGTGAACCATGAAAGCTGGCGAGACGGTGGCCAGAGTGCTGGCCTGACCTTCAGCCACTTGAAGGTACCCAGGGAAGGGCTCGGTAGGCACTCTGTCCCTGCTGTGTCCTGCTGGGCTGTGTCTGTAACCAGGGAGTCAAGGGCACAGGCAGACAGATGTGTCCCTCCTGCCAGCCCTGACTGGTGGATGGCCTGGAGCAAGCTCTGGGGTGGGAGAATTCTGAGATCTCATCAGGTCCTGAGGAAACCGGCCATGGCTCCTGAGGGATGTCTGGCAGGGATGTAGTTGCAGGATGCTGTGGCACCTCAGCCGGCCTTTGCCATCCATGGGCATGACCTCCTAGTCCCGGGAACTGTTTGGTGGGACTTCTGGGTTGGGCCACACAAAGTTGGGTATTCTGCTTAGCCAGTGTCCTCCCAGGTGTATATGAATGTCACCTGACCAGGACTCCTACCTGTGAGTAGACAGCCCCTGGGGATCCCTGAGAGAGCCCAGGCACCCCTTCTTTCTGCTCCCTGTTCTGTTTTGACATTTTGGCAGAACTGTGTCCTCTGGGACTTTGTAACCACCAAACACTGAGGAGAACAAGGAAGAGTCAGGAGATGGAGTCTGGCCCACCCCACCCTGCAAGGTGGTGAAAGAGAAGCATCTGGGGCTGTAGAGTCTTGGGGTCTCTGCCTGATTGGCTCCTCCCTAGAGTGTTGACCTACCAAGCACTGCTACAGGATGTGAGGTGGCACTTCTACCTGACTCAGGTGTTGAGGAACACGTGGCCCCTCCTGGTGTCAAGAGACAACTCTGCCATGAGTCCCCTCTGTGACCCTGGCCACACAAGCCTCCTCAAGCCTGCATCTGGGGTAGAGCTTCCAGCGGACCCTTGGGGTCTGGTGCATGGTAGCTCCTGAGCCCCAAACTCAACTGTGGGATGATGGAGGCCAGTGGAAAGAGAGGGCTCAAGGACACAGGAAGGCAACCATGTGACAGGAGAGGGGTCTGGCTGGGGCCTCTGGGGCAGGGGGGAGAAGAAGGGCTCCTGGGATGACCAGGTAGCTCAGATCTTTTAAACGGTTATCTAGGTCCCGGCATCATGAACACACATACTAAGGACTGAGGCAATGCCATGGGGCCCATTGAGTTGGACTGTGGAGGGTAGGCAGGAGCTCAATGTAGCAAAGTGGGAGGAGAGAGAAAGGCCTGAATGATGCAGGAGACACAGGAGCACTGAGAGAGAGAGGTCCTGAGTGGTGGGATGGGGACCTGGAGTTAAGCTGAGCCCATGGGGAGTCAGGGGAGGGACAGAGAGGGAAATTGGTGCCTTGGGGAGCTGCCAGACTGGGAGCAGCAGGTGGGGAAAGGCCTAGGGCTCAGACTGGGACGTGGCAGGGAGGATGAAGGGGTGTGAGCAGGGTGGGGGTGGCCAGGCATAAAGGTGGTAGGAATGCTGGGTGGCCTGCCCAGGGCCTGACCCTGCTGTCCTGCAGACGGTGCTGCTGTGGGCCTCGGTGCTCTTCCCAGAGCCGGAGGACTGGGCCGAGCTTCAGGGCGCTGTGTACCGCCTCCTCGTGGTGCTGCTATGCTGCCTGGCCACCCGGAACCTGCCTCACTTCCTCCACCCTGAGCGCAACCAGCTGCAGGACAGTGGCCTGGACCTCAACACTATCTACCAGCGCGTGGAGGGCTTCGCCAGCCAACCTGAGGCATCCCTGCGCATCCATGCCACCCACCTGGGCCGCAATCCCCCGCCACGCATCAGTGCTGGGGTCAAGGCACTCCTGCAACTGCCAGCCAGTGACCCCAGCTACTGGGCCACTGCCTACTTCGACTTCCTGCTGGACAAGGTCGGTGCTGCTGGCCTTGGGAGTTTGGGGTAGGCCCAGGAGCACAGGAAGGTGGTACAGAGCCCTGGTTCAGCATCCTGGTCACTGCCTCCTGGGTCAGGCCCCTGGACAAAGAGAGTCTGTAGGGACAGATATGATGTCTAGGGGTCAGACAGCTATGGGGAACTTCTTCACTAGTGGCCCTGTTGGCCTAGGGCTGTTCTCTAGGAACCAGGGGAACATGTCTGACACTGTCCCTGTTTCCCACCAGAATTTCCCCCAAAGCTCCATCTGTCCACCTTGGGTTTCCATTCCTCATGAGGGAGTGTGGCCTTCCTTGGGTCTTATGGGGACTGTTTCCTGCTTCTACCCAGACTCAGAAATTCCACAGCCATTCTCCTTGGGACCTTGAGAGCTAAGGTCCTTTGGCCCCCTCTCAGGGTTCCTGGCTGCCAGCTGCCCTTCCTTGAGCCCATGTTCGGCCAGCTCTGCTAGCCTGCACTGCTCCCACCCCCGTGGAGCCTACCCTACTTCTCTCCCAGGGGCCAGTTCTCACCTTCACCCCAACAGCAATCACCATCCCTTTTGGGGGTGTATCAGCCAACCTCTCTCTTGTCCCGTGGCAGGAGACCCCAGGGGAGCCACTGTGTTGCTGGACATCTTCTGTCCTGTTTTAGCAAACACTTCCCTGCTGAGAGACTGATAGCCTTCTGGGGTCACCTCCCTGCCACCACTTAAGAATTATTACCCCCAAATCTGCAGGCCAGGGAAGCTGGGCCCTGCACTTTGCTCTCAGCAGACCTGTGTGGGCAGGGTGGGGATGAGAATGGGGGTGGAATGGGAGTGGCAGCACAAGGGTGCTGCACAGACAGCCTTCAACCAGCACCTAGTGGGGCCTCCTCTGGGCCAGGCCCATGCCAGAGACATCTCATGTAAGGAAGGGCTGGTGGAATAGAAGATTTGGAGACCAGTCTGTCTGTAGGGAGGAGTTTCCAGGCTGATACCCAGAGACAGCAAGGCCCCATGGGGCTCAGAGAAGGCAAGTTGTCCCAGGCTGTGTTCCCAGCCCTGAAATGCTTGTGATGGGCTCCAGTTGTTCCTGTAACTCTTGTCTCCCTTGCCCTACCTGTAGTTCCAGGTCTTCAACATCCAGGATAAGGACCGAATCTCCGCCATGCAGAGCATCTTCCAGAAGACCAAGACTATGGGCAGTGAGGAGAGCTGAGCTGGGCCACCCTGTCTCGGCTGACTGACAGCCTCTCTGCAGTGCACCACAGGTTCCTGGGACATTTGGAGGAGGGAGTGGGCTTCTCCTTGAGGTTTGTGGTGAAGAGACTTTGTCCCCAAGGACCACCCTCAGACTACTGGGGGGTGGCCTCTGAGAGTCTGAAAGTGCTGGTCAGGGAAAGCCTCCTGGAGTAGGTGCCTGTGTCTCTGGGTAAGGACCTCGATATAGGTGCCATGCACTCTATGTGACACATATTGATACATCCATGTGATATTAGGAAAACTGAGTGGAAAACCAAATCTTGAAGGCTTGTCCCTGCCTACACTGGATGCTACTCCTTGGTGATGAAATACTATATGTTTGGTCTTGAATAAATGAATGTAGTGGATGTACACAGAGATAATGCCCTCCACTTTTTGTACATCTGTGTGAGAGATATTCCCCCCAGAAGCATCGAAATAGAAGAGGCTTGTGTGCAAACAGACATCCTCAAACCTTCTCTAGTCTCTGCGAATGACCCCCTTTCCCCAGGCATCCCGCTTCCTAGTTCATAGAAGAAACTGAAGCCAACAGAGAGAGGACCCACAGCACATGAGCCCACCTGCTTGGTGTTGGTCCCATCTGCTTCTTCTCATCCCTGAAGAAGGGCCCCTTTCCAATGTAAGGTGTCTGTCTTCTCCTGGCATCTGATATCACCCCTCTGTCTGTTCTCACCACTCTGCATCTCCACCTCATGTTCTCTTGTCAGCTCAATGCATTCCGCCTGTGGCCCAGTGACCTGCACATGCTCCAGCTCAGGGGACATTTCTTCTCTCCATCTCTTTGGCCTCTCAGAGGCATTTACCACTCAGCATCGAGCCCTGGCTCACACTCTGGGCTCTTGGGAGGGGACCTGCACTTCCACAGCAGGTGCATGTAGAAGCGACTCCCCCAAACCTCTTCCAAAGAGAACTATGGCCATGTGCCAGAGGAACCTTACACTGATGACAGGAAATGTCCAGGTCCTCTGATAGCTATGGGATCACCTCCCTGCCACCACTTAAGAATTATTGCCCCCAAATCTGCAGGCCAGGGAAGTTGGGCCCTGCACTTTGCTCTCAGCAGACCTGTGTGGGCAGGGTGGGGATGAGAATGGGGGTGGAATGGAAGTGATCCAGGGCCTGAGCTTACTCCAATGCCAAGGGGACACAAAATGCCATCATGACCTCCCTTTAGAGTAGGGGCTTGTAGAAGACAGTATCTTGGTCCCAATCTGATTCATAATGGACCCAAAGGGCCCAGGACCACCCGGTGGTCATTTCTTTGGTTTCTGAGTGTGAATCAGGAGGGCCACACATAGCAGGGGTAAGAGCTGTAATAGTAGGAAAGGCCAAGGGAATGATTTTTAAACCATCCCTACTCCCATGGTCAAAATAACCCAGGAAAACACCACATGCTGGGTGCATGAACAGAATTTCATACCACCTTCAAAGACTTTAATACACCAGTATGACCTCAGCAAAAATTGAAGTAGTAGATGGCTGGTAGTTCTGAGTGCGATAAGAGCACATGTGGGTTCTGTAGCAGGTCCATCCTTTTATAACCAGATGCTGAGAGTATCCACAGTCGAAAGGGATACCACGTGGCATCTCTGGGAAACTCCCAAACAGGAGCTGAAGTTCTGGAGCAAGAGCATACCTACCATCTTTAGCAGGAAACTACTCACTGTTCAAAGAAAAGCACTTGGCATGATATTGGGCCCCTGCACAGGGGACACTGAGTAACAATGTGATGTGAGCTGCCCACCATTAGCTGGTGTTACAGGACCCTAAGTTTAGGGGTGGTAATGGTGGTGCAGCAGCAATCCATTGTACATGGACATGGTCCTTTCAGGATCAGGCCAAGCAGGATAGGTGAAAACAATTCAGTTACATGAACAATAGCCTGGACCGTCATATCATTACATATGGTACACCGTGTCTCTCCTTCCCCTCACACATATGGCCTTCAGGGGGTTTCCTAGGACCAGCTGATAGAGTAAGAGACCCTCAATCCTGGCTCATGGATGATATGGCTCAGTCTATGGAGTCCAGCCAATATGGACTTTCCTGACTTAGTGTTCCTAGAAGACAGCAGTGAGAAAAAACCCTCCCTGTGGTCAGAGCATTAAGAAATATAAATTGTTCCTCAGTTTTGGGTGGAGAGACAGGTGGCTCAAAGAAGGAAACACATTCCTTAAGACAAAGAATATTACCAGAGGTAAAGGGGGATATTTCACAATGATTAAAAAAGTCCATTCATCAAGAAGGTATAATAATCCTAACAATAGATCTTCAAACTTCAGGCTTTACAAAAACTGATAAACCCTTAGTAAGACTGACTGATGGAAAAAAGAGAGAAAATATAAGTGGCCAATATCAGGAATGAAGAAAGAGAAAGCACTAGAGATCCTATAAACATTAAAGGATTATAAAGAAGTATTATGGCCGGCTTGGTGGCTCAGCCTGTAATCCTGTGCCTTTGGGAGGCTGAGGTGAGTGGATTACCTGAGCCCGCGGGTTCGAGATCCGCCTGGGCAGGCGAGACCTCATCTCTACGATAAAATCAA